TTATAAACCTGTGCTTCTCAATCTTTTAAATTCCTGCCTCATATTCATGAGCATAAAAACGTCATGCTTAAACTTCGGATGTAATTTGAATATTCCATATGAATTAAATATATTTAAAAGCAAATAAAATAAACATTCTACTGAATGCTCCCTGGTATTTCTGATATGTGCTACCTGGGTTCTGCTGTATTGAGAATCACTCTAAATCATGCAACCAAATGTGGAGACAAATGAAGGCATCTGTTCCTTGGCAGGACATAAGTAATTAATGAAGCAAACTTAAAAATGTATATGTGGATTTTTGGGATGCCTAGCTGGCTCAGTGGGAGGAATGTGTGACTCCTGATCTCAGGGTCATGAGTTTGAGCCCCACATTGGCTGTAGAAATTATTAAAAAATAAAATAAAATAAACTTAACTTAAAAAAATGTGTATGTGAATTTTTGCCTCATTTTTCACGAACTTAATGATAAAACTTTAAGAACTTTGTACTTCGATTTTCCAAAAGGCTTCTAATGATTTTATTCAACTGAATTTAATGTATATATGTAATTTTAAGAGTCAGAAATAAAATGTAAATAAAATATTGGTTAGGCTGCATGTCAATATTATGCCAAAAAAGCTAGTTTTTTTTACATTTCACCTTTCAATGGAATGTTTTAACATTTTGTAGATTAACACAATCCTGACCTCTATTTTACCTAATAAAGTTTATTTAAAACCATGATGTTTCATGAGGCTTAGAACAATCTAGCAAACTCAGGATTAACCAAACTGAACCTGAAAACCTTAAAAATGCACTCTTGGATTCTGGAGTTAAATGACCCCAAAATAACAAAAATTTGTATTTTATTTTTAAGATTATTGTATATATATATTATCAACAGTGATTCTCCAGGGATAATGCAATTAATAAAGTCATCTGTGCTTTTCTCCAATATAAGAATCTGAAATATATCCCTGTTCTCTTGAAGGATCACTGCCCTTTGGTACACTGGTGCTAATCAAATTGCTCACATCCCAAAGGGATGAAAACTGCTGTTTTAGGCTATGCCCCAGGATCCCAATCACTTTAACCTTCCAGTTTCATTTGAGATACTCTTAATGTAAATTCCCAAAAATGTTAAATCTCAATACAGATAATAAGGACTGATGACTCAAAATCATGGCCTTGAAATATTTGTTAACAGATCTTTAATCATCAAAGACATAGTAATGCTAAGTTGTAAGGCAGGAAAAAAAGTCATCTTGGAACACTTTTTAACTATGGGTTACAACATCCTTAGTTAACTAAAAATTAGTACGATCAGAATATTTTTATTTCTTTTGCATTAGATTAATCAAAGATAGACTTAAGCATTTGGTAATATCTGTAAAATAATGTGTTACAGGTGGTTTCAATTATGCGTATGAAATCTCTTTCCTCTAAACCTCCAAAAGCACATGGTTATAGCTCTCTTATGATATACAGAACATTATCCCTTACATTATTTTATTTTTGTCTTTGTCTCTATTATATATTAATTTAGGACAGGGATTGAGTCTTACTCTTAATTGTATCCACTCTCCTAACAGTGCTTTGCACACAGTAGACAGTAAATGATTTTAAAACAGACTAGTCACTTGTTCAACCATCATCAATTTCATTTTAAAGAGGTAATCCTTGACCTTGTTTCATTATCCCTAGAATTGTCTTTTAAAATCAAAACAATTGATTTGAGGACAAGTGAGATTTAATTTTTCTTAAGGAGTTATTAGACTACAAAAACATTTGGTGCCTGAATCAAGTACAAAAAACAAAAACTCCTGTTAAGCTTATTGTTACATGAAAATTATTAACAGTATTTATTCAAAAAGATACTATAAGAAACAAAGGTGAAAACAATTTGATTTCTTATCTGAATTGTATCTCCTACAGAGGCATTTAACAGATGCTTTCTGTATTAAAGTCTACTTAATGTTAAACTTTTTTAGAGTATATGGGAAATGTCAAGTCAAAAGAAATCTAATATTAATGATATATTTGAATATCAATCTAATGCAGACTGTAGAGCAAAACCCCTAATTAATAATGAATGACTTTTCAGCAGAGATTATATTATATAGCACAAATATATGAGGTCTAGCATAATTATAAACAAATGATATTCCAAATTTCTATATTCAAAATAGCTTTCGTCTATCATCATGTTGATTATATTTGCAAAGTAAACTGTTAAACCTCACCACAGAATTTTAGTTTCAGTTAATATTAGACAGTGTACCTTACTACATTTCAATGATGGTTATTCAATAATTTATTGAACACTAATATGCTTAAGGCTAAGTCCTGATTTTATATTTATATGTGTGGCAAAATATTTCAGAATGGTAGAACCAAAAATTTGAAAATTTACGTTTAGAAAACATAGGGAAGATAATGCATTTTGAACAGAAAGCCAGATAAATGCTGGATTTTGAAACAAATCTAGGCGAGAAGGACAATGCAGAGTCTAAACACTGCAATATAGGTAATAAATCATAACCGTATACACCATGCTAAATGAAAACCCTGACCATTTTTCCTACATGTAATTGTAATAAATTATACAAAACGGATTCTAGGGGCTAATTTGCACATTACAGAATTTTAATATAGTACTGAATCGGCTTGATTAACATACCCCAATCTATTGTGAAAATTACATAAATACATTATAGTTTTTCTAACATTCTAGGTAACTGCCTAATTCATGATAATTAACCTTTATTAAAACGGACTGAAAATTTACTCCGCAGAATGGCAGAACGGTCTCACTTTGTTCTTAACCAGTTTTACAAAAAATTTCAACATGGTTTCCTGGATTATTTAAGGGGCGATAATTCCATCACCCCCTTTAATTCGCGAAACTTTTCAACCATCTGATAAAAACCGCGATGGAAATGTAATTATGTAAATTTAAAACTCTCAAAGGCTCATAAATGTAAATCTGATACTAAAAATCACTAGAACTTGCCAAAAACCCCAACAGGCACTCCCAAGAAACTTCTCACCTAGGAAAGGCATCATGTAGGCTGCATCCTGTAAGTGGAGTAGGACACCCCTACGACCCAAGCCACTTCGGGTTTAAATCCACTACCTGTGAACAGTTACGGAGTAGCCTTTTGCAGTGGGGACCTCGCTACTGGTGCCCTTGCGGGCCAAGGTCGCTGTCCGGATCCGTTACCCGTCTCGCCGCGAGGGAGGAGTGAGAGCTCCGCGGCATCTGCCCAGGCGGTGGCCGACCCGGAGGGTTAAGGTGCCCTGCTCCCCGGCCCAGCTCCGCAGGCCGCCCTGCCTGCCTACCTTGACAGGGTGTAGGTAGCCGTCGCCGCGCAGGACGCTCAGCCCAGCGTCCGCCGGCGCCTCGGCGTCGTCTTGCAGGCTGCGGGTGAGGTGAGCAATGTAGGTGGTGGCCAGCAGCAGCACGTCCAGCTTGGACAGCTTGGTGTCCGGCGGCACCGACGGCAGCGTGCGCTGCAGCTCCAGGAAGGCGTGCCGCAGAGTCTGCACGCGGCTTCGCTCCCGCGCAGCGTTCGCTGCAGCCGGCCTCCCGCTCCCCGGGCGCCCGCCGCCGCCCGGGCCCGCGGGTCCTGGCCCGGCCCTGCCCGGGCTCGAGTCGCGGGTGGCTGCAACCGGGAGCGCGGTTTCGTTGCTAGCGATCAGGGGGCTGCCTGCGGGGCCGTCGCGGTCCATGGCGGCTTCCCGCGCTGCGTGCCCTGCAAAGGACCCAAAGGCGCGGTGAGACCCGGCGCCGGTCGCGCTTAACCCGGGGAACCTCAGGCCTCTCGCTTCAACTGCATGCCGGGCCGGGCCATCGACGTGGCTCGGGGCGTTCTCAGAGATGAGGTCGTTTTGCCTGGGGCGTGTTTACCTCCCCGCGTCTTGGGAGAGTTGTGGGGCCTGACAGTTCCTGGGCTTAGAAGGCTCAGGAGGGGCACGGTGCCGGCTTTACTTTTCAGGGACAAATTAAGTGAAAGGGCTATTCTACCGAGGAAGGAAGATCTTGGAAACAGAGCTCCGGTTCGGGACTTGTTTGCACTTCTGGAACGTTATGCGCCAGCCCCGCAGGAGAGATGGGCAGGTCATTCTCGCGGGCTCAGCGGGAAGCCCTGGCCTCGCCAGGGTCCTCAGTGCCCACGGGGGCAGCCCTCGCACCATTCGTTCCCGAGGTCAGGGATCCCGGGGGTGACGGCGGGAGCTTATTCCAATTTCTGCGGGAGGAGAGGGGACCCCTGACCTCACCTTGGACCAAGGCACCCGCTATCCTAACGAACCTGGGGACCAAGCGACGCTGCTGGGGTCGGACCGAGGTTCTCACCTTTCCTGGAGCGGCCGTGCAGGGCTCCGTTCCGCTGCAATAGCCGACCAGGAGCGTCGAGCTTGGTCTGAGTGGCCAGGGCCGCACAAGTCACTCCATCCTCGTCCAGCCGAAGTCGACAGCCGCTTCTAGGCCCTGCTGGGCGCGCCTTTTATGCGGTCGCCCCCGTGGCCAGGCGTGTGTGGGCCAGACTCCATGTAGGGCTGGGACAGTGGGACCCGCCGAGGTCCGCGCCCACCTGAGGGGCTCTGCGGGGGGCTGAGAGTCATTAATCAAATAGCCCGGCGGGGCGGGGCCACAGGGGGCGGGGCGTCGTCATGTCCCCGCCCTCCGTCCCGTCCGGGTTCGCCCCGAGGCGTGACTGCAGGCGCAGTACGTCGAGCGTCCGTGGTGTTGAAGGCCCTCGGGGCGGCCTCGCGAGTTGCCTAGCCTCGCCGCCGGCTTTCCGTCACGGGTCCGGCCTGAGCGCAGGCGCCTCCCAGGCAGGCGCCGAGCTGAGGCGGGAGCCCTGCAGTTTTGCCCAGCGTGACTTTTAATTTTCTGAGGAAATGTGGAGTGTGTCGCTGCGATGCGCTAACCTATTATTCTACCACCAAGGTAAATGTTTCATGCTGCCCTAATTGAAGCAGTAGTCCCTTCACCTCGGTACTCCGTGACCAGTTTATAGCCACTCGGAGATAGTGCACCTAGGGGATATTTGGAAGTTCCCAAACCGGAGTAAAAGGCCCTGGGATCGCGGTCGCTTCTCCCCCGGGGGCGCGGACCGTTGCGGGTCGCCTCCCTCGCACGCGCGGGGCCCCGCTTTGTTTCGTTTTTTGGACCTAAAATTCGGCCTGGCTCCGCCCCCCTGCAGGGAACTCGCGTCAGATGTCTTGCACTTGGGGGCCCACGGGAAACGTGGCCTGCAAGCTGTCCGGTGAGGGGCTCTTTCTGAGGCTCTTTGAGAGCTAATGCTGGCTCGGCGCCGCTTGGCTTGTTCAGAGCCCGCCCGGGAAGCGCTGGGCCCAGGACGCCCCCAACCCTGTGGCTCCCGCGGGTCCTGGGCCCAGGGCCTTCAGAGGTGAAGTCTCAGGGGACGCACGATAGTTTCTAGAACGTAGTTAGTATGTCCTTGAACTAATGCCCTCAGTTCGAAGAGCAGGGCATTTAAAAATCTTTGGAGTCAAGACAGAATATCAATTTTAAAATATCATTGATGAAATTGCTCTTGTATATGAGACGTAATTTCTGTACAATAGATTTTTAAATTGGAACTATGAAGTAGTACGTAGTAATGGTGACAACTTGCATTTTAATATATCATTCTACACCTCAGGTATATTAGTGAATCAGAATAATAATAATCTTCAGTTGCCGTTCAATAACTGTAATTAGATTTACGCTTTAGAAAAGATGGACCAAAATACCATTGGCTCAAAAAGGATTACTTTCTTTTGATGAATGAGGAAGCACATCTTTATTTTCTCAGTAAATTGTATGTAATGAGGGAAAAGCAATTGAAAAGCAATGTTTCAGATGCTATAAAGAAGCAAATCAAACCGCTTAAAGGTTTTTCTTATATAGTGAGATACCCTAGAGCTACAAACTACAAAAGATGATATTGCCTGGTAGTATAAAAGTAAAAAAACGTACGTTTCAGATCACTTAAGGCTGAATTTACTCATCTTTTTTTTTTACAAATTTTCTTTTACTTTTGTTCGGAGAAGGTGAAGTTCAGGTACATCACTTTTGTCAGCAAGCTTTCAGATTCCTTCAAAGAGAGATACCTGGATTAATAGAGAAAAAAAACAGGAATATTTCAAAAATGAAAGTTACCCAAAATGGGAACAAACATACAGACTCTAGGATACAACAGTAGTAGAGGCTAATGATTAGTCACCAAACTGTGAATCTTTTTAAAGGAAGCGGAACAATTCCTTCCCCCCGCCCCCCCCCCCAGTAGAGAAGAACGTGGAAAATCTATGTGTTGGGAGAAGTGTGGAAATAAGAATTTTGGAGGGAAGGTGGGCTGGGCTAGGGTGAGGCAAATGCCTAGAGCTCCTTAACTTTTGCACCCTTGGCATCTCACATGCCTCACCCTAGCCTAGGCTGCTAAAGCCTCCTGTTAAGTGGAGGAGGTGGGGTGGAGGTGGGGGCACCAGGGAAGCTCTTCACTGATAACAGAGGCTGGAAAGTGGACAGCTGTATTGCCCGATAGTCAGGTTCAAAAGAAAAGATTGGTGAAACAATACCAACCACTTCGGGCCACCTCGTCTTACCTGGTGCTGCTCGAAGCAGCCTCTCCGAATCCTTTCATGATTCTAGAGTAGTCCTATTCTCGCAAGAAGCCATTATTTGCCATTAAGTTAAAAATAGAAGATAAAAATCTTCAAATTTTCAACCTTACATACATTAGTAACAGGTACCTACCTTATTTAACCATACGTGCAAAGTGCTTTACAAAACACTTTATTTTCTCATTTAGTCTACAAAAACCCTTTGAAGATTTTACATTTTATGGTTGAGAAAATAAGACTCTGCAGGATTAAGCAATTTGTCAAGGTCACACAGCTAGTAAGTTGCAGAGACAGGGTTCGAGCCAGGCTGACTGACCCTAAATCCTTGTGCTTTTTACCATACCTATTCTATTTAATATTTGTAGGTTCTTCATAATTTGCAAAACATTTTTTGTATCTGTTACTGTAATAAGGGGCATATTTTAACTTGACTCCCTATTAACAATTCAAACACTCTTTTCGTAATGGTACAGTGTATTTTTTGGAGTTCTTGTCTAGTCTTCCAGAAAGTAGATGGCTTTAGAGTGCTATAGATTTTATTTTGTGGAGTATGGTGTAGATCTTAAAATTATGTGTCTTTCTCTAAACATATCAATTTGTCCTTAACTTACTATCTTTATAATGTAAAATAATCACACATATCAGTGAAGAAAGTACATTGCTGTTTTATATATATGTGTGTGTGTGTGTATATATAATAAAACTTAGGTTTTATATAATTGGTGCTTTTTTTCATCTTTCAACTACTTCCCTTATTGTTTAGTTAAGGTATAATGTACATAGTTAAATTCATTCTTTTGAGTATATAATAGTTCAGCAAGTTTTGATTAAAAACTACCACAAAGATATGCATTTCATCATCCCACCCTTCCATTCCGTTGTGACTTTGTGCATTCTACTCCTAGGCCTTGGCAACTACCGATCTGTTTTCTGTCTCTATAGTTTCAGCTTTGCCAGAACTTCATAGAATCTTACTGTGTATATATACCCTTTTAAGTTGGCTTCTTTAGCCTAGCATAATACTTTGAGATCTGTCCATGTTGTTTTGTGTATCAGTAGTTGATTCCTTTTTAATGCTAAGTAGTATCCCATTACATGGATATACCACAGTTTGTTTATCCATTCCCCAGTGTCAGGTCTGTGGGTCATTTTGTTTTTGGTGATTATGAATAAGCCACTATACACGTTTGGGTATAGATTTTTGTGTGCATATAGGTTTTCATTTCACTTGAAAAAATACCTTGGACTAACAGTGGGACTGTTAGATGTGGTAAGTACATGTTGAACTTTATAAAAGTATGTCAAACTGTTTTCCAAAGTGGCTGTACTATTTTTGCATTCCCATCAGCAATGCACAAGACTTCCAGTTGTTCCTTATCTTTGCTAGCATTACCAGATTCTTTTTCTTTTTATCCATTTTAATATATATTTTTTAAGAAAAATTGAGCCAATATTTTAAAATCCATTGATTTCTTTATCTAGATATCTTGCTTGTCAGTTAGTCTGATTTCTCAAGTTTAAGAACTTGAGAAAGTTCTGCCTGACTACAATGTTTTGGAGTGGAGTAGCTGCAAATGCCCTTAGGTGGGTGGACATGTGCTCTTCAGTTCACCTCAATCACATTCTCCTGCTTCCCTCACTTATTTTTTTTTTTAAAGATTTTCTTTATTTATTTGACAGAGAGAGAGAGAGAACAAGTAGGCAGAGAGGCAGGCAGAGGGAGAGGGAGAGGGAGAAGCAGGCTCCCCGCTTAGCAGGGAGCCTGATGTGGTGGGGCTCGATCCCAGGACCCTAGGATCATGACCTGAGCCGAAGGCAGCGGCTTAACCGACTGAGCCACCCAGGTGCCCCTTCCCTCACTTATTTTACCTGCCTATACCAGAGGGCATTTTTGAGACCCCTTGCAGATTAGTTGAGAGCTTGGCTTTTAGAGTCAGTGACTCGAATTCAAGTTCCAGCTCTGCCTCATGGCCGTTGTGTGACTTTGGGCCCCTCTCTGACTGGGCCTCTCCAATGCTCATTTTCCCCGGCTATAAAATGGGTCTGATCATACTCTTATCTCAGAGGGTTCTGCTGTTTTTTAAAAATTAAGGTAGTGAATATTCAGGTATCAAAGTAGACATTTTAAAATGGGGTAAATAACATAATTCTTAAAAATTAGATCTTACATAACTCTTGTTCACAGAGTAAGCCATTGACAGAATTGAGACTAGAAGTCACAAAACCTAGCTTAGATTGTTCTAAAAAAACCCTTGTTGCTTACCGCTATTGCTTTTTTTAAAGGAGGGGTGTCCTAATTTCAGAAGGGTTCCTTGACAACTAACTGCAAATCAAAGTCTTAATATTATATCTCCATTACTGATACATAGAAGTTATTTTGCATATAAAATGAATTAGACAGAGGTTAGGTTTAACACAGCATAATTAAAGGCATTTAGAGCTTTGCAGATGAATTTATATAAGATCATCCCAGAGTTTTGTAACTAAAAATATTACCTAAGTTTTAAAAACTCTTGAGGAACATAGAAGATCTCTTGTTACAACTGTTCAAACATAACCTTAGCAGTGGTGAAAGCAAGTTATTTTTACTGTTTTTAAAGTTCACTTTTTTGGGGGGGGGATTTGATGTCTGATCGTATTTATTTGTCACTCAGAAAATCTCATTTTTGACTGGACTCAGACTTAGAGGTAGAAGCTCTCAGAGAGGACAGCCTCCGTCTCTTGGCATTCTGTTCGTGGCATTTTTCTTTGGCCTCCTTCATTCTCTTGGCCAAAAGTTTAGCATATTCTGCAGCCTCTTCCTTATTTTTCTTAGTGCGCTGCTTCTTCAAAGCAATACGCCGCCGTTTGTGCTGGAGGACTCGTGGAGTAACAAGACGCTGAATCTTAGGTGCTTTGGTTCTAGGTTTCTTCCCTTCTTTGTTTAGGGGCTTTCTCACAACATACTGGCAGACATCATCTTCTTTAGAGAGATTGAAAAGTTTGCGGATTCTGCTGGCTCTTTTGGGCCCCAGGCGACGAGGCACAGTAGTATCAGTGAGTCCAGGAATGTCCTTCTCCCCTTTTTTTTACAATGACCAAGTTGAGAACACTGAGATTGGCATCCACAATGCAACCCCGAACAGATTTGCGCTTTCTCTCTCCAGTCCGCCTTGGTCTAGAGCAGGAATGCCCCTTACTCAGCAGCAGGCGGACACAACCATGGGTCAAGACACCTTGCTTCATGGGGAAGCCTTGTTTGTCATTGCCACCACTGATTTGGACCACATAACCCTTCCATTCTTCACACAGAGCATCAGCAGCAACTTCTGTGGCCATACGCTTCTCATAAAAGGTACGAAGTTTGCGTTCATCGTCCACTTCAATGAGTTTCTGGCAGCCAGTAGCTGGGAAAGAGATGTTCAGCTTCATCCTGAAGCAGCCTACCGCCTCCGAGGTACCACGAAAAAGAGCTAAAGTTCACTTTTTAACTCAAAGAAACCTAATACTTCCATATTCTAACTAAAGATAGTAGGTATTTTATAAATAGTTAAATAATTTACAGTGAACATTTCCCAGTGAATTATGGCTCCCAGAGATTCACATTCCTTAAAAGTATCTGAAACTAAGGCATTCTAACCCAGCTACACAGTTATTTTTATAGTAACAAAAGAGATGGACTGACTCTGTGGACAGGGCTTAGGCTTAAAAGATAAATAATCAAGTAACAATTTGCTTTCTTCAGTGTACGGTGCTCTACAGTATTCTCAGTGGATCTTATTTACAATATGTAAATGCATTTAATGTCTATTTTAAAATTACTAAGTCTCAAGCACCTCCTAGCATGTTTGAAAAGAGAGGAAACATCTGTCAGAAGTATTTACTGTGACAAACACAGAAAGAAGCAATCATGTGTACACTTTTTAATAACATAAATTATTTTTAATTGAACAGTGAAGGCATTTGTTTAGAATCAGCCGTTAAATAAAAAATAGCTTTGAACTAATCTTTAATTAAAGTGTACATTGACAGTATCAAGTTCAGTTTGAGGGTCAAAAACAACGTCAATGAGTCTGACTTTTTCCTCCCTGTAGGGAAAGCAGGCTTGTATAAATATACATGAGCACAGACTGCACACATTTATAAAGGAGGTGAAAAACATTCCCCTGTCATTGGACAGATGTTGCTTCACTGTGTTCACATAGGATACGGGCACAGCTCCTAATGTGCAGAACCTTAAAGGAATATGGGGCACATACTTTTATCATTTTGGAAGAAGACTCTAAGCTCTTTTATACCTCTGAGCAATAATGTAGACTATAGGAGACACGTCTGTTGATGCTAGCTCATTCTCCCCTTAAAGTAATTAAGGGAAGGAGTTGCTTTAATCAACTTCTTAGATTTTTAGAATTTATTCTTTGTGGTTTTTTTTTTTTTAAGATTTATTTATTTGAGAGAGCGAGAGAGCACTTGTGCGTGGGGGGGGGCGGGGGGCAGAGTGAAAGGGAGTGAGTCTTAAGACTCTGTGCTCAGTGCAGTGCCTGACAAGGGCCTGGATCTCACAATCCTGAGATCATGACCCTGAGACTGTGACCTGAGCCAAAATCAAGGGTCAGAAGCTTAACCAACTGCACTACCCAGGCACCCTGAGGGTTGGATATTTTTTTAACACTTTAGTGACCTTCTACTTTATTCTCATTATCTCTTAGCTTTATGCTAAATTAGTAAAATGTTAGTGATAAGCACACCCTAAAAATCTGTATCAAGAGCTTAATGAAATTCCATATTGGTCACCTTTTATTCAAGAGAGGTAGAACTGATATTCCCATTTGGTAAGAAATCTTTATGATACCAAAATGATATTTTGGCATGCCTTCAGTAAAAATGTTACCTGAAGAAATAATTTTTAAAAATATTTAATGTTTTTCACATTATAAAACTGAAAACTTGGGATTGAACATAATTCACTTCACGGACGGTGATAAAAGCAGGACATTCTTTATCTCCTTCTCACAGGGACCTCTCTATTCTGCCGGCTTCTTTTAGAGCGTCCTGTCTTTGCAGTGCATAGTAGTTACTAGAGACTCACTTAGCTCTGTATTTAGTGTTCCTAGTCAGGAAAATGAGGATAGAATAATTTATTTGCTGTTTTGTCAGTGCAGTCCTAGTGATTAGAGCTTTGCTTGGGGCTATAGAATATGCAGTATGTGCCACAGTTCACAACTGATCTAACTGTGTGTGTGGTGATGTATAGAATTTACCAACACTGTTTTCTGAGTCTGTGTTCAATTTTTATTGTTTTCGTTTCCATCTTGATGACATATTAGCAAGACCTTTCAAGATGCTTGGCAAAGAAATGAAACTAAAGAACACTGTTGTGGAATTGACACTAATTATGTAAATCTTTTAAGAAACTACCAGGGTGATCTATGGATAGAGTGGTTCAGGTTTTGATGGTAATGGCAACAAATGTAAGCAGTTGAGTAAACTCTCACGCAGCTTCTGTGTTTTTTGTTTGTTTTTGGTGAGTGGAGATGAGCTCAGATTCCATATCCTTTTTCCTCTCCCCGAATAAAGCATTTTCCAGGCTCACAGGACCCTTTCTCCCTTAGGCCTCCATCCCAGCAAGCCTAAACCACTCTTCAGGGAATGGGGGTAGGACAGTGCAGCAGTGTTGTTCATAGGTCTTCTTTAGGTTGGCTCCATTAAAGAATGCTAAGTCACCATCCCTTGATTGGACTCTGCAAAGAGGGTCTCACGACAAACTTATCTGGCCTTCAGCAAGCAGTTCTCAGAAAAAGGAAATCTATTCTAGAATATGTACACTGGCTCTGCTTACTTTCTCAATGAAATACGCTGTTGCCCCCTTCATTATATTGTAATGACTACTATGATATGATTGGAAAGATCAATAGAGCAATTATATTGAGTATAAATGAGAAAAGCTTGAATGAATAATTTATAGGGTGTATTAGGATCTGGTTTATAATTCTCATAACATTTATCACACTCCACAATAATTGTATCACATTTGACTCTCCAACCAGCTTGTTGTAAGACCTTTGAGATCAGGAGTATCCCATTTGAGTTTTTATGTCCAGTATTGCCCAGCATAGAGCAGGTACCTATTAGTTTTATGAATAAATGAACTTATTTCTGGTACGATTTATCTTTACATTGAAGCAGTATCATTTTTTAAAACTAAAAAAGCAATTTTCTCCTTATCAGGAAACTTAGAGCTGATTCATATGGAGCTACATTATGCATATATTCAAGGTTTAGAATAGTGACTCTTCAACTAATTTTTTAGATCATAAACCCCTTTGAGAATCTAATGAAACTTCTCCTTCAGGGACACCAGATTAAGAACCTTTGGTCTGGAGAAGTGAAAGTAGCCTACCTCTGTAATGCTCTGGGTTGCCCCTCCTATCTGCTACTAGATACCCTTGGCATAGTCATCTATTCATTAGTGGACCACCCATCATCAACTAGGCCTGAGGCTCCTTTGATATGATCTCTACTCCTTCAGACATCTTTACCTGCTGCTTCTGGGACTGTCCTGAGTCACTTGCCCTACCTCAGTGAGTATATCTAGTCTGTGACTCCCAGCTTTTCTTGAACTAGTCATTCCATCACAGTGTGATTATTTGGGCAGACCAACAGTGAACTTTTTTTGGGCATAGTGGGGGTGCCTTGTCAAGAATTGAGACCCAAGAACAAGGAGACAGTTGGAGGGCCTCTCTTCCTCTGTGTTGTTGTCAGAGTGTCCCATCTTCCCAAAAAAGAGAAATCACAAATATTTGAAAGAATCTACTCCATATCTCCAATAATTTTAGGGTTATATTCTTGGGAGCTTTCTGTGGATGCATTTCCATTTGGAAGGTATCTCTGTATATCAGAGAAAAAGACTAATTTTGGCTTACCCACCTGTGGGTAATAAATAGGAACTATGTGATGCATTGTTTCAAATTTACTTGTAGTATACAAAGAGTTAAAAGGTTCTACTTTGAAACTAATAACTAAATTGTAAACATAGCCTATGACAGCATTAGACAATCCAAAATTATAATTTATGAAACGGAATTAAATTTACATAGATCCAAAATAAGACCAATTAAAAACTTAATATCCCAGATAAAATATCACAGACTTGCATTCTGCTGTTCTGAGTTTAGTTTTTCAGAGTGTTTAACCTTTAGGGAGTAGATTAGTTATGTATAGTTTTTGGAGTGTGTTCACACCTTTATTTTGAAACTTAACATTCCACATCATTTCCCTATTGACAGATCCTCCTCCCTTTCCAGCAGTTATTTCCCTTTAAGTGGGGACTGTTTTAGTTACCTCTAATTCCAGTGTCTAGCATAGTCTTGTGTATATCCAAGGTGCCCAATAAATAAATCAGTGTTTCCATAGAAGCACTACAGAAGTATATGCTAAAAGATATGCATATATTTTGGATTTTGTTTAAGTATTTGATTTTGTTTCCAAATTTGAGTTATATAGTTATGCGGCTATATTTAGGACAAGATTTTTTATCATAAGATCCTTGAAGTCTTAAGTCATAATCCGCATAAATCTTGTCATAATCCTCAATATACAGCTCCAAATTTATAAGGCTATAAAAAATATGTAAAAGGTCAGGAAGTACAGAAATTATCTTCCTTGGAATTCCTGTTCACTTATAATGTATTTGGTTGTACAAGCGTATCTTTAAATGGTTCATCTTAGTTCTTCTAAAGACCTGAAGGTATATTGTAGATTTTAAAAATACATAACATACCTCCTAGACTTTAATTCATGCTTTCCATTTCTTTTGAGCAGTAATAACAGAACCTTAGTATAAAGACCATAGTGTTAAGTTGTTGGCCACATACCTAAGGATGGAGTTATCATGTGCTACATACATGTATCCACAGATGTTACTGATGTTAAGCCTGAAAGGCTGAGAACTGTGTCATTGTGTTTGGATGGGGATGGCAAATGTGTAGAAGGTGAGAGAGAAGGATCTCTACAAGTGGCCAAGGGAGAATAACTAAGTACTCCTGAGGAAAACTCAGATAATTTTCTCTTGCAGCTAATCAGCTTTCAATTTCAATTGTATTTTAATTGACCTTAGAGTTTATTTTTCAATATAGTAAATCATATCTATTAGAATACTTAAAATTTTTTTATATTATCCCATTTTCTCTGTAGTTCCTTTTTATTTATAAAAATTATTTGTTTACATTATCATGTTTACACATCTGCAGATTTTCCTAAATTCCCACCAATCTGAAGTGAATTTCTAAGTAGAGGAGACATCATTGTCCTTATATCCAAGCACAATTCAGCCAGTCATTGTTAGAGTGGTCACTAGAAGCCAAAGCTGTTTGATGAAGTTAAATAATTTTGATGAATCACTGCTGTCTTTGTGACGTTAGACAAGTTATTTCATCTTTCTGAAACTCAGTTTTCTGATCTACAAAATGGATGTAATAATTATCTCTGCCATAGGTTATAATGATTAAATGCAATGATGTTTATAGATCTCTGAAATATTTAGTACAGTAAATATTACCTGTCTTTTCTTCCCTTACCCCGCTTTGCCTCCTTGACTAGAGTGCTTTCCATTTTAAATTATTAATGATTATTATAATAGCAACTCTAGCAAGGTATGAAATGATACTTCTGTACTATATAACATTCTATATGGCTTTTAAAAAATTTGTGCTAAAAACATTAAAATTTTTTTTTTAAGATTTTATTTATTTGACAGAGAGAGACACAGCAAGAGAGGGAACACAAGCAGAGGGAGGGGGAGAGGGAGAAGCAGGCTTCCCGCTGAGCAGGGAGCCCAATGCGGGCCTCAATCCCAGGACCCTGGGATCATGACCTGAGCTGAAGGCAGACGCTTAACGACTGAGCCACCCAGGCTCCCCAACATTAAAAATTTTTTAATTAAAATTATAACTTTTTAATTTTAATTCCAAATAGTTAGTCTATGGTGTTAGATTAATTTTAGGTGTACAATGTAATGACTCAACAATTGTATACATTACTCAGTGCTCATCATGATAAGTACATTCTTTAATCCTCTTCACTTATTTCACCCATCTCTCTACCCATCTCTTCTCTGGTAACCATCCGTTTTTTTTCTGTAGTTAAGAGTCTGTTTTTTGGTTTGTCTCTTTTTTTACCCCTTTGCTCATTTGTTTTGTTTCTTAAATTCCACATATGAGTGAAATGATACAGTATTTGTCTTTCTCTGACTGACTTATTTTGCTTAGCATTATACTCTCTAGCTCCATCCATGTTGTTGCAAATGGCAAGATTTCATTCTTTTTTGTGGCTGAATAATATTCCATTGTGTACATACACCACATCTTCTTTATCCATTCATCTATCAATGGACATTTGGGCTGCTTCAATAATTTGGCTATTGTAGATAATGCTGCAATAAACATAAGGGTGCATGTATCCCTTTGAATTAGTTTTTGCATATTTTGGGGGGAAATACCCAGTAGTGTGATTACTGGATCATAGGGTAGTTCTTTTTTTAACTTTTTAAGGAACTTCCATATGGTATTCCACAGTGGCTGCCTCAGTTTGCATTCCTACCAATAGTGCATGAGGGTTCTTTTTTCTCTACATCTCTGCCAATACTTGTTTTTTCTTGCATTTTATTTTAGCCATTCTGATAGGTGTGAGGTGATATCTTATTGTAGGTCTGATTCGCATTTCCCTGATGGTGAGTGATGTTGAGCATCTTTCATGTGTCTGTTGGCCATTTGTATAAGTTCTTTGGAGAAATGTCTGTTCATGTCTTCTGCCCACTTTTTAATTGGATTATTTGTGGGTTTTTTTGGTCTTGTATAAGTTTTATATATTTGGATACTAATCCTTTCTTGGATATGTTATTTGCAAATATCTTCTCCCATTCAGTAGATTGTCTTTTAGTTTAATTGATTCCTTTGCTGTGCAGAAGCTTTTTTGGTTAATGTATGTGGTAAGAACACTTAACATGAGATCTACTTTGTAAACAAATTCTTACGTGTATAATAAATTATTTTTGGCTATAGGTACAACTTTGTACGGTAGATATCTAGAGTTTATTCATCTTGCTTAACTGAAACTTTATGCCCATTGATTAGTAACTCCCCATTTACTCCTTCCCCCAGCCTCTAGCAACCACCATTCTACTCTTTGATTCTATGAATGTGACTATTTTACATAGCTCATATAAGTGGAATCATGCAATATTTGTCTTTCTGTGACTGGCTTATTGTATTTAGCATAATGTCTTCAAGGTTCATTCATGTTGTCACATGTTGCAGAATTTCATTCTCTTTTAAGGCTGAATAATATTGTATATGTATCTACCATGTTTTATTTATCCATTCATCTGTCAGTGGACATTTAAGTTGTTTCTACATCTTGGCTGTTGTGACTAGTGCTGCATTAACAGAGGAATGCTAATATCTCTTCAAAATCTTAATTTCAGTTCTTTTGAATGAATACACAGAACTGGGATTGCTGGATCATATAGTAGTTCTATTCTTAAGTTTTTTTTTTTTTTTT